AAAAAAAAAGGACCCTCATAGGCAATGCATCCGGACATGCTCTTGAAGAACAAAAAAAAATTAAGTATATATATTGAAGAGTCACTGAGAACTTTTAGAGATGCGATAAGCCATTTTTGTGACCCTTATTCGATCCGTATCTCCACTATAGGTCATGATAGAAGGCTGAAACTTTTATCACATGCATCCTATCATAGGCCCAACATATCCTCCAAATATCAGCCTGTTTGTATGTTCCTGGGCTGAGATCAATTTTTGAGGGGGACCCTTAAACTTTTCCGGTCCACTTTATAATCGAGAATATCAAGAAAGTTTGTTGATAGATTCATTGAAAAAATTAATGCTGAAATAAATAACTTTACGAATTCATTGTTAATTCCAATCAGATTTAAACATAAAATTTCGGATGAAGTACAATATGAAGTGTCGAAATTCGATTCAAAGATAGTCAATTTCGTTGAGTTTTTAGTACTCGACTATAAAATGCTTATAAATGTTCAATCTAATAACTTGTTGAAAAATTTTTCATTGAATGCTATAGAAATTGCGTAGATACCTGATAAGTGCCTATGTACTAAGACAATTCTCAGCAGGACACTCAACCGAGATTCTACGACATATTGATAATAGGATACTCGAAAAAATACACTCTAAAAAAATAATTTACTTGGAAACCTATTTCAGTTTCCGAATGTTGGGAAACCTATTTTAGTTGCATTCGGAGCAAACCTTTTTTTAGAGTATATCCTGCTCCTTGAATTTAGCAAATTTGTTAGAAGTATCCATCTCATTAGTATTACATGAATTGAAAGTTCCCTTGTAAGTATGAAATTTTTAGTTATCATACAGCTTTTGCCAATTGTTGAAAGTGAATTACGAAGGTCTGTACTACGAAATTCATCCTACCCTCGTATATTAAAACGTACTCTGCAAAAACGATCATTATAACTCAATAAAAACCTCATACAACTACAAAGCCATGTAACAATAAAATCTGCTTGTAATAATCTTGACTAGAAATGTTAATCAATGAAATCGAGAGTTTTCAGAATTATAATTTCAAATGTCTCTCTTTACCAACAAAAAAAATTCCTTCCTATAATTCAATTGAGAAGATATTTTATTTTTTATTTATATCGATCAAAATATACATTGAAAAAATTTCTTTTGACAAAAAAATCTTTCACAGTACTATTATCGTACTTTTTAACAGATAAAACATATTCAACATCTGACACATCGTCATCGAACTAAATTTTCGGTCTTTTAGCCGATTTTGAACTTATTCTAGAATTCAAAGGAAAATAAAAACATATATATATATAAAACGAAATACTTTGAATACATTTTAGTGTTTTTTCAACTTGGGAAATGTCCTGTAGGTGTATAATTGTATCTCATATGCTAGCGACATCTATTAAAACATTGAAATAATTCTTTAAATTTCAAATCTTAAATATAAAATACTTAATTAATTTTAAATGATAAAAATCTTCAAATTACATTGTTTTTCTATAAAGAAATATATGGATTTCAATAAGACCAGTAGAAAACATGGACTTCAAAAAAGTAAATAATACTGAATCAAAACGTAAGAAATTGGATGTCTTGTCCATGCTCATTTATTTATTTATTTTTTTTTGATCTATGAATATTTTCTTTAATAAATTTTATTTTAGATCCTTTTTTAGTCTTTATAAATAAAATTCCAACATGACTGACAAAAAGACATCAGGAACAGCTACATCAGCTACAAAAAAAGCTTCAGCTGCTAATAAAAAATCGGTTACAGCAACTCCAGCTCCACCAAAAGCTGAAGTAAATTTTTCTTTTATGCTTGTTCTTTTTTTTTCTCGATTATTCATTTTATTTATATAATAGAAAGCTGAATTAACTAAAAAACCAGCAACTACAACACCAGCTCAAACAAAACCAAAGGCTAGTGCACCAAGTACTAAATCAACATCATCATTGGCTAAAACATCTACTAAAGTTACTAAAAAATCGACAGGATCATCAAAAAGTGGTGCTAAAAAAAAACATAAGGCTATTAAATATTATATTGATTGTACACATCCAGTTGAAGATGGTATTTTTGATCTTAATGCATTTGTATGTAGTTGTTGTTTTTTTTGTCTTTGTTTTAATTTTTAATCTTTTTGATAATTTTATTTTAAGGAACGATTTTTACATGAAAAAATGAAGATCAATGGTAAAACATCAAATTTAACTGATGTTGTTGGTATTGAAAAAGCTAAAGCTAAAATATCTGTTACATCAGAAGTTCCTCTTTCGAAACGGTAAAAATTTTACATTTATTTATATTCTTTCAATTTATATTTATTATGTTTTATTTAGCTATATGAAATATTTAACAAAGAAATTCTTAAAAAAACATGAACTTCGTGATTGGTTACGTGTTATTGCTAATTCAAAAGATGCTTATGAATTACGCTATTTCAATATCAATCAAGAAGAAAATGAAGGCGAAGAAGCTTAAATTAATGATTCTATGTCGTCATCATTTTGTTTTTTTTTTCTTCTTGAACATCCATCAACGATAAAAGAAAACAAACCTAAAAGAATAACAAGAAGAAAGTTCATATTGTGATTGTTTATTGTTTTTTTATGTTTTAAAAAGAAAAGAAAGAAAAATAACATCACAGAACTTAAAATATATTTGCAAATTTTATATATGAAGTTTTATAAGTCGATTGAAAATACCAAAACCGTATTGGTTTATCTTTCATCAAAGTTCTTGGATAAGGAACGAAGAAATATTTATAAAGCAAGAGAGATAAATCGAAATGACTGAAAATTCACATTAATGAAATAAAATTTAAGAAAAAATTCTACATATTATTTTTAGCAATTCGAAAAAAGACTTTATTGTCTATTGAATCTGAAAGCAGGGCTCTCGATGTGGGGGGGGGGGGGAACTGTTTCCCGTATAAATTGAAAATCTGTTTTACTGTCCGGCAAATTTATAAATAGACGCTGTTCGGGGAATATTCGCAAGCCATCCCGCTTCCCTTGGCTCCGGTTTTGTTTTTGTGTATGGAACTTTTCCCGAGATTTGGCTCATCCCTGAAGGGGGACAGAGGGATCTTCCCAAAGCTACCCCTCCCTCCTTTGAGCTCGATCACGACTTTCTATGAAACACGAAAAGTGGCGCGCTACTGCCCGCCCTGCGAGCATCAGCTTTTATGAAAAACTAAGAAATTTTCGGTAGCTATTTCTGAAAAGCTTTCGTTAACAGACTGTCTGCAAAAGTTTATGGAAAGTTTTAGCTCCTCCCCACTCTCAAAAACAATCGAGAGCCTTGTCTGAAAGTGCTACTTTGTAGAAGATCTTTATATTTATAAATAAAAATTTTGAAATGCTCTCTACTACTAGTACAAAAACTAGTTCATGCAATTTTAATTGCTCGAAGCGTTAGAATGAATTCAAATAGAGAAAATGGTTTTCAAGAAGTATATAAGGAAATAAAAATTATTATCAGATTTACAAAGATAAACCCTAAGAGAACTTTTTTTTTCATGCTCTTGACCTGCGCAGACCTCAAGATTTGTTCATAGCGCGTCGCTTTCTTGCTCAAGATAAGCGCTTGAGTGTTTACATAAGTTACAAGAAACTCATGTGCTCAATTCCAGAAAATGCAACTATGAATTTTTATTAAAAGTTGAGTTATTTTGCACGTAAAATTGAAAAAAAAAGTTCCTTAGTAACAGACACGCTTGGATAAGAATTCAAGCGTGTGAGCAAGAATATCAAGCGATAGAACAAGAAGTTCGTCTAGAGAAGATTTCAGAAAA